CAAGGCAAGGCAGCCGCTAGGTTCCTATAGGTGCATCGAACCAAGCAAGTGATCGAACCCAGCAGGCGCTAGGTTCGGTTTCAAACCCAGCAATTGTTGGGTTCGATTGCAAACTTAGCACCCGCTGTGTGCCATTTTGAACCCAACAACCACTGGGTTCCTTTAGGTACTTGTTCGATTTCGAACCCAGTAGGCACTGGGTTTCGTTTCAAACCCAACAGCTACTAGGTCGGTGGAACCCAACAGCTGCTAGGTTCGAGCAATCGCTGGGTTCCTGCAGGTGTTGGGTTCGAGCAAGCGTTGGGTTCCGTTTTGAACCCAGCAACCGTTGGGTCGATAGATTTGTTGAGTTTGATTTGTTTATCGATCTGTTGTCTATTGTGTTACCCTTGGATTCTTGTAGGTGATAGATTCGATTTCAAACCCAACAGCCATTGGGTCGATGGATCTGTTTATTGATCTGTTGTCTGTTGTGTTATCCTCAAATTCTTGTAGGTGCTAAGTTCGATTTCGAACCCAACAGGAGATCAAACCCAACAAGCGCTAGGTTCTGTTTCGAACCCAACAATCCATTGGGTCAAAGGATCTATTGAGTTCGATTTGTTGATTTGTTGTGTTATCCTTGGATTTAATATTAGGAGGTGTTAGGATTTGCATAAGGTGAAAGGAAAGGGAGAGGAAAAAGGTAGGGAAAAAGGAAAAACAAAGGAAGAAAAAAAAAAAAGGAAAAAGAAATTTTTTAAGGTTTTTTCTTGCCATCTCATTTTTTTTGCCACGTTGTACATCCTAGATGTCAAAATGCTTTTATATGTCAAAATGCTTTTATATGTCATCCTTTTCCCATCAAATAATGGGAAACATAGGCAGATATTTAACGAAAAGATCAAATTGGGATTAAAATAGTAAACAGTAGGGATCAAATCAAGAATTTTTTTAGTTTAGGGACCAAATCTAAGGTCCAAATAATAGTTCAGGGACCAAATAAGGTTTTAACCGCTCTAATTAGATAAATAATTTTTAAAAAAGCAAT